GCCCATTGCCCATCTCATGTTGCTCATCTCGCCCTCATCTCTTCCATCTCTTGTTCTTGATTCCTCCCTTCCTCCCCACAGCTCCTGGCCCTTGAAGTGCTGTATGCTGCAGGTCCCACCACTGGCCCCACTACAGGGCACCCAGACAGGAGGCTCTGGGCATTTATTCCACGCTCATTCAGCTCAACCAGGGTAGCATAAAGACTTGTAGAATATTTGGGTTTTTTTTACCTTGTTAAAATAAAAAGACTATCTCAACCTACAGCCAACCAGGTTCCCAAAACCCACATCCTCCCATCTATCCTGATCTCTTTCCTCCTCTCTCTATGTGAGTGATCTGGACCCTCTCAATGAAGGAGCTCACCCTACCACCTCGGAGAGACATGTCCCCAGACACAACAGTTTGAAAGCAGGAGCTACCCATTGCTGGCACTTTTTCATGACATGGATGTCTCCGAGTCTAAAAAACCATGACTTTGGCCATGCTACCTCCACCGCCAAGCCTGTGTCAAAGCACTGCAGTGCTGGCAGAGGCAGGATGGGTACCAGCTGCTGTAACAAGCTGTGTCGATGTCTATTTATTAGCAACAAAAAGAGGGGGAAAAAAAGGATTTGGATTATAGACACTATGATTGAAATTTAAAGAAAGACAGACTGGTTTCCAACTCAAAATGCAAACTCAGAGTGGAAAGCAGTAGATGGTAATCTAAACAGCAAGCTGATGACATACAAGAGATACACAAATGATATACAAAGAACAAAAACAAGGAGTGAGAACAAGAATAAGGGGAAAACAAAACCAGACTTGAAAAGAAGAGGGATGAAACAGAAAAGAAAGGGAGGGGGAGAAAGAAGTGGAAATAATAAGGAGTCAAAAGAAATAGCAAAGGAAAGAGAGGGCAAACAAAAGAAAACACAGTGAGAAAAAAGGAATTAGAGACATCAGAGATGGAGCAAACTCATGCAGAGAACAAAGAGGGGAATGTTGGGCAGCCCCAGACAAAAACTAAGACAAGACAGCATGAAAGAAAGGATAAAGTGGAACAAAACTAGCACCAATGTGGAAGACATGAAGGGAGTGAAGGCACTGGTGTGATAACATGAGAGCCAAGGGGCAATGCTGAGCATAGGGCAGGGAGGAGTGCAGTGCTGGGACAGACACGCTCTTGTGCTGCCCTCCTGCCTCCAGCACTGGGGTGAGGGATGGGCCTGGGGAGCAAAGGGAGCAGGTCACAGCAGAGCCCCATGGCCAGGGCTGGAGGGGTCTCTCCCCACCAACCCTCCTTCCCACCCTGGGGAAACAGTGTCCCAGGCTGCCTGGGTTGGAGCCAGCTCTACCCAATGAAACCCCCCTGAAGATGCAGCAGCTTTTCAGGTGCCTTAAGCCACTTCAACATCACTAGTGGCAGGGGGCTGCCCTCCTTTCATCTATCATCCCTCCCTTCCCACAACCAAAGCTGTCTTGCCCCCTGATTTACTCTGTGTGGGGTCTCAGATGGGCACAAGGCAGAGCAAGGGCAAACTCAGGGTCCAGTTGGCTCCAGAACTGGAGCTGCTGGCCAAAGCTGAGCCCAGCGCTGGAGCTGGTGGCACCTCTGGGACAATGTATTTAAGAAGGGGTAAAAAAAGGAGTGAGAAAACAGCCCTGAAGACACTCAGGTTAGTGCAGAAGAAGGGGAGGAGGTGCCTCAGGAGCAGAGACTCCCCTACACCCAGTGAAGACCATAGTGAAGCAGGTTGTCTTCCTGCAGCCCATGGCGGAGCAGATACCAGCCTGTAGCCTTTGGAGGATCCCACAGTGGAGCAGGTGGAGATGCCCTGGAGGAAGCTGCATCCCATGGAGAGCCCACATTTCAGCAGGTTTTCTTGCAGGAACTGTGGTCCATGGGGAATCTCTGCTGGAGCCATTTGTGAAGGACTTTGTACCATGGAAGTGACCCCCTGGTAGCACAGGGGGAAAACGTTAGGAATGATAACACAGATCAAGCGTTACAGACTGACTTCAACCCCCGTCCCATTCACCTGCACTGCCTGGAGAGCAGAGAGCTGAGCCTGGAAAAACAGGAGTGTTGAGCAGAAGGTGGTTTTAGTTCAGGATTTGTTTCTCCCCATCCCACTCTGTTTTAAATGGCAATAAATGAAATTACTTTTCCCCAAGTCAAGTCTGTTTTGCTCATGATGGCAACTGGAAAATGATCTCTCTGCCTTTCTCTTGACCCAGAACCCTTTCCATCCTATTTTCTCCCCCTGCCCTGTTGGGGGCCAGTTTTCCCAGGATGAGGCTTCAAACACATTTTCAATGCTGAGGAGCACTGCAGGAAACAACCCAGCCTCCTCAGGAGCACTCTGCAAGGCTACAATGATCCTCACAGTAGCTATTCTGCTCTCAAAATGCCAGAGGTTGTTCCTGGTTTAGTGCTGGGTGCCAATTCTGTATCTCAGCACAGCAAATCACCTTGTCCCCACTCTGCTGTTATTTTCCTCCCGGCTGTCATTTCTAAAGAGCACAGTTAGAAAACACTTCCTGCATGGGTTCTTGCCTAACTATGAAATACTTGCCTATAACAGTAAAACCTAGAATTACAATAGCCAGGAAAGACATTTGGAGAGCTATTACCAATCACATCTCAGCCACCAGATGGGAATAAAATAAGAAACTCCTCCTCTGGGTAGCTCTCCAGGTTATACAATCTTTCCTCTTGTTATTTTGCCTTCTGTCAGAGCAACAGCACTTGACACGGAGGATCAGGACGGCTCTTCTAGGTAGTGATTCCTGCATGCTTTCAAAATAAATATTTATCAGGTTAGGAGAGCCTGGAGCTAATGCCTAGGTTATTAGTTTCCCAATAGGACTGCCTTGAGCACAATGAGCGTGCAGGTATCTTGGCTCCAAGTGCAATCCTAAACACTTGGGCCAAATTCTCAGCTGAGGCTTGCAGGAGTTAACCAGACCACCAGTGCTGCAAACAGGCCCCTCTATTCTGCTCTTGTGAGACCCCACTTGGAGCACTGTGTGCAGTGCTGGTGCAAGCTGCCCTAGTGGAAGATGTCCCAGCCTGTGGCAGAGGGTTGGAACTGGATGAGCTTTAAGGTTCCTTCCACCCAAGCCAGTCTGGGATTCTAGGAACTGACCCTTTCTTCCCTACTATAAATTCCTATCTCAGCCCGCAGGTAAGACCTCCTGGGGTGAGGCGTCCCAGATGGCACAGGCTGCTGCACTCAGCTTAGACATGGGCAGGTATTTATCACAGTAACCCTCATGGGGTGTGACACTGAACCCACTCGCTCTTGACAAGGTATCCTGGATAATGATACTGCTGAACTGGGATTTCAAGCTTGCGCAAGCCAGCAGAAAACTTGGTCCCACAAGCACCAACTTAGCTGAAAACCTGAATAAGCCGAGCAGCTTCACTGGCTTCAGAATCTTATGTGGCTCCTGCCTGTGGGAAGACTTACGGGCATTAATGATTTGAGGAATTTTCTGATTTATAAGAACAGACATTCCAGGAACCACATCCTCCTAACTAACAGGATCAGCCCATGTACAAGATCTTGGCTTTTCAGTATAGATGCAGAAGAGCTCAGCCCCTCACCTTCCTGGCACCAGGCTGGTGTGGCTGGAAGGGTTTATGTCCCTAAAGCTGGCACAAAGTTTTTCTGATGTTTAAAGGATCATCTACAGAGGGCTTTGGTTTGGCATTTACAGGGAAGCACCCTTTAATATTTCATCTCAATGTCCTTGGAAATCCAGCTGAGACTCCTTATGGTCAATATACACTTTTCACACTCCCCAACTCAATGCAAGATGACTTCTCATCTGCAAAGATGAGCTGCAGAGATTTCAAATGCCTAATTTCACACTGCAGAGTGGAGTGCTTAAATCTGTATGTATTAGCTGTGGATGAGTGCCCAAATTGCTCAGTGATCAAGCAGAGAGGCTTTTCTATTGGGAGTCCATGAGTTAAAACTTCTGACTTGGAAACAGCAGCAGTGTAACTTCATTTGAGGGCTTAGAGAGAACTTTCCCGAAGTTTGGCTCTCTGCCTGGAGCAGCACAAACACCCTGATAATGGCATCAGAAGAGTAAGAGCTCGCTGTTGGCTTCAATCGGCTGTAAAGCACATCAGATTGTACTGTTTTCTTCACAGAATCACACAACAGTCCATGTTTGAAGGGACTTTAAAGCTCATCCGGTTTCAACTCCATGCCATGGACAGAAACAACCTTCCATTAGACCAGGTTGCTCCAAGTGTCGTCCAACCTGGCCTGGCCAACCAACCTTCTTACCTGGACCTTTCCCCTTAGGAAGTCTTGAGTGTGTAAAATGCACACAAGAAGAGCACAGGTTCTCACCTTGTGTCATCCTTCAGGAGAGCTGTGGCTGCAAATGGGGCACTCCATGATGGAGCTCCATGTACCACGCTCTGCCCAAACAGGCCCAAGGTTGGAGGCTACACTTACCTGGACTGACTGCTACTAGCTGCATTGTCCTCAGCTCAGGTGGGAGAGCTGCTGCTCCTGCCAGCACTGCGACAGTGCACCCAAGAGATAGACTTACCTCCTGCATAGGAATGTATCTACCCACACCTCACTGTCCTTCACATGGATCACATCACCAACCAACCTTTTACTTAGGAGAAGATGGATACAGAAAGTGGGTCTAAGGAGGGCCCCAAGCTCTAGGTTACATCTAGAAACACCCAGACTGAGCACAGGAATGTATTTGCAAGCGATGCTTTTCTACCACGTTAACATCTCTTTTCAGCTTCTGGAATGTAAACTGCATTACCTTGGTGAGTGGCAGAGGCAGGGATGGATGAAATGGGAGGTTAATCGGCATCGGGCATCTCTCTTGATTTCGCCTTCATTTCCATTTCTTTTAAAAATGGAAGTTCCATTAAAACAGCAGCACTTTTCCATTAAATAAGTAACAGAGAAGAATGACTGCCTCTGTATCTCATCAGCAGTGAATCTTTTTAAAATCACTCAAGAGGCAAGGCTCAAATCATATATTTAATAGGAACCACTTTGAAATCACTTTTTAAAGCAATTAACATATTATTAGAGATAAGCGCAAGATGCAACACTTAGATCCAGATTTCTAAGACAGATTTCTATGGTTTCAGAGGGGGCAGACCTCGGGTCGTCGCCTCAGCAATCATCTCTGCATGTCACAAACCAATGTCAGAACAGAACTTCAGCTACACTCACACAGCAGATTCAATTTGCACTTTTAATCCCGATTTTACTCATGCTTTTTCTTTTCAGTCATTTGAAAGCACTCTATGTACACCACAGAGAATGGGGAAAACACCTCTTCAGGGTTTCTGCCCCACCTGAGGGTCCTGGAGTAACGTGTTCACCTCCACTGTCCCCTTCCTATTCGATAACGTTTTCTGTGTGGAGCACGAAGGAAAGGCATCTCTGAAACTTACTATTCCACAGGATAAAAGAGCCCATCACCAACAGGACCCTCATTGCCAGGTCGTCTTGTGTTGCCTGAGGACAAGGTCCCAAGTGCACACGCATCATCTCCAACAGGCCACACAAATGCCACCAAGGCAGCTGGTGATGCTCGGTGGTTGCTGCCTCCTGCACCGAGCTGTGTGGACATTCCAGAGCGACTCTGGCTGACAATCCTGTGTGTTCAATAGAGCAAGCCCATCCTGCCTGCCGGCTGAAGCACGTCCTGCCAACTGTGGTAGCCGAGGTGCAGCCACACATTCATCTCTGCTGCCGGTGACGGCGACAGAAACCTCCAGCAGCTGAAGCAGATGGAAGGCTGGCGGTGGTGACACCTTATACCACCAGATTAAATCTGACAAAGCCCATCTGTTGGCACCCTGAGCACTGGCAGAAGTAGAGCTGGACTGGGGAACCATGAATTAGAGCACAGGCAACATCCAAGGCTTTTTTGTTGTTTATCCTGAAACATGCAGGCTCTTCCCAACACTAAACAGTATGTGGCTTCCACTGATGACTGACAGCAACCTGATGGCTCAGTTACAGGGCATTTTACCATTTTGACCATTAGCTGTGAAGTCTCAAATCCCCCAGACTTTTCCTGGATGCCTCCTCATCAATAAATAGCTTTCCTTGGAAGGCAGCAGCAATGCAAGGGGAAACACATCATGCATCTGAAGACATTGTGATGATATTGGTTTTGTAAGTGCTAAAATTTATTACACAAGAGATGATGCCACAGTGAATAAGAGAGAAAAACTCTACATTGACTCCCTACTTTGCAATTCAAGACAACTAAGAGGTTTTGCTTCATTAAAGAAGGGAAAAAAATAGGAGACAACCCCAATGAACGAGGAAGTCTTGTCAAGCCTAAATGAACAATCAGTCCTATGCAATGCTCATGGTTGTAGAAGGAACAATGAAAGATATCTGCTTCTGTACAATAAATTACTAAAACATCAGTTATAAACCTGCTGCATGGCACTGAAAATTAAACTCATTAAACATACAGGTAGCTTCATCCTGATGCAAATGGAAGACAGGCATGAGTGCTCTGCAGCAAACAACTCTGTGCACATCCCATCTTTGGGAAACATATTTACATGTACATCTCATATATTAACATTTTAGTGCACCCTAGCCAGAGGGCAACCAGAAACAATATTATTCTGTGAGAAGGACAGGAGATGGGCTGGCTTCTCCTCTCCACTGAGCGAATCCTGTATCCACCCATTAGTCTAGCATCCATAGAAAGCAACTTTGCAAGACCACGATTCCCTTTTCCAGACAGTCAGACATAGGACCCCAAACAAATGGTCTCCCATGATGGTTGGGTAGATTTGGTAGCCAAGATTATTGTGGGCCAAAACCAGCAGGTGAGATCGCCATATTAACAAGACTTAAATGACTTCAACGTCAAGAATTTCAGCCAAAGTGCCATTTACTGACCTCTTGCTCTCCCTCTCCCTTTCTTACTGCACCACAGCTCATGAAGGTTTGCAGCAACATGCACTGTTTGGGGTGGACCTTGACACCTTCACACTGCCCAGGCACAATAGGCGTGCTCAAGCCTCAGAAAGAGACCACCACTACAAAGTTATGGAGACTGCCACTACTGGTATGTTTATTCAGAGCAAGGATGCCTTAAAAACAAACCCTATGGTCTCCATAGGAGTGAAGCCTGAGCAGGACTTTCTCTTGCATTACCTGATGCCTTAAAAACAAACCCTATGGTCTCCGTAGGAGGGAAGCCAGAGCAGGACTTTCTCTTGCATTACCTGCTCTCAGTCTGTTGCACATATCAGCACATCCATCCTTATTTCTACAAGAAAAGAGGAAAAAAAAAGGGTAAAGATGGGTCTCCAGGGACACAGTGCAGGCCAATGGCCCTGCAAGGTGGGAAAGGTGGCTCTGAAGCTCCCCAGGTTTCCATGGAGCAGGAAGCATCCCACAAGCCTTACTCACCGTGTGCAAGTACAACTGACACCCAAAAGGGCAGACAACTGCCCAGGCAGGCAGACAGACATCCAAGGTCTTTTCCAAGAGAAACCCATCTGGAGTCTCCATAGAAGGGAGTGGTGCTGCATGGGCTGGCCTTGCCAACAGCAGCATGAGGGTGATAGAGAGGATGAGGCAAGGGGAGACCAATGATTCTATTAAATAGGACTTTGTTTAATGACATCTGTGACTAAGGGTTGGAAAGATCTACAGGAGCTACTGGGTGCACTTTGCCTCTCAAGAAGGTGGCTGCTGGATGCAGGGGCAACAAAGGGAAAAGGGAGAGAGGACTTAGCAAAGCACCACATCTTTCTAACTCAGCTCATTTGGGACTTGGCAAACTTTCCCTATCACAAGCACTTAAGTTTTCACGCTTGCCAGGCAGGTAAATCCGGGGTCTTTCAATTCCCATCCTGGTGCAAACATACCTGGGCCTTTCGGAGAGCTTGGAGTTGTCTGGGAAAGCAACAATTCGCTGTCAGTAAAATGCATACAAGACTGCATGAGCTTATTACAGTCATTCCAGCAGAAATAAGTGGTATCTTTTAGAGTGCTTGCCAGAAGAAAATAGCAGTTCTGACCCAATTTCACACAGTTGGAATCAGCTGTGGGAGACTAATATACAATAAAAATAAAAAGACAAATGCCCATTTCCCCCATGTCCTCTCCTAATAACATGAATAAAGCTCTGTTTTGATATTTCATCCTTTCCAAAGGAGTCCAGTCAGATCAGTCCAAGTCATCTGTGTTTTGAGTCAGACTCCTCTGATTCCTCCAATCTTTACTTGATGAAATTTTTAATCATCCACCTTTGTCCTGTGCAGCTGCGAAGAATCAGATCAATGCCGGCCATTCCCCTGTTCTCCACTTCCAAGCATCGTCCCGTTCCCTTGTTCAGGATGGCACCATTCTACAATTAAAGGATATAGGCAAAATATGAAGAAAATGAAAGACACGGGGTCGCCTGTGAAGCAAGCCAGGCCTGTGTGGTGCCCAGGAGTGCAGCTGTGTCCTTGTGTATTGCTGGAAAGCTCACAACACTTAGCTGAGTGGTAATGCCATTCCAACAATAAAAAAAATCCTGACATAATCAATGTGAATTGAATGAGCAACCATTACCACTGACAACATGGAACCCTAGCACGTCAGCAACTAAAGGACATTTGTAATGTTTAAATAGCGTGGCTGCACTCTGCCTTAGGAAGGTGGGACACGTCTGTAGAATGTGTATTATTTACACTCTGCTTTGGGACTAACATATTGATACCTCTCTTGCAGTGAGGGGCCCAGATCTGAACACCAATTTCATCACAGATTATCTGTAAGAAACAGAAACCTGGAAGTCATTGGCAGGGCAGGTTACATACACCTGAGGGTAGCACAAAGGGAAACTTCTACTGAAATCATCCTAAAATGCTGTCCCTGCCCCTGATCCCTTTTAACCTTTTCCTTCTGCACTAGGACCTGGCACTCTGTGGCATGGGACCATTTCAGCTTTGTCCCCCACTGACACATGCCGAAGTGCCACAGCCCATAGTTTGGGAAGCAGAGGAGCAGCATTGATGGCAGACCCATAACAAACCTGTATGAAATTCCAGCGCTTATGGAGGCTGCTCTTGACCTTCTCACAGTCGAGGAGCTGAGGGAAGCGGCTCTTCACGTTATCTACCAGGCAGCGGGTATCGGGTAGGAGAGTCGTGGTTCCGAGGGCACCGAGATGCAGGAATCCCTCCTTGGTGTAGCGTGCAAGCTGAGGGATACGGAAGGAGAGGAAGACAACCATTAGTCTCTTTGGAACATCATTAAAAAGTGATAAAGGAAAGGACATTCTTGCACAGCCCCAGGAAAAGAGCTGTGAGGAAGGTGCAGAACTGACAAGAGGAGAAGAATCAACTTTCTCCAGCCTTTTTTTTTTTGTTGTTGTTTTGGGAATTTGCTTTGCAGATGCAGGTGAGGAGCTGGGACACAGGGAATAGATAAGAATGACTCTGAGCCTTACACCCATCACAGGGCAGACTCTTCCAGCCTCCTTTGGGCCTGAACACCCTGCATGTTGGGGCAATGGATGATTTCCCCTGGTTTTCAGGGAGCCAGCTGGCTTGGCCGGTGAATGATGTGGCTTCTGGCATGCCCAGTGAGCCAGCCTTGATTTGACCTGTGAATGAAGCTGCTGGTGTGACTGGCACAGCTACTCCAACAGCAGCAACACGAGTCAAAGAAGGGCAATATATAATTGGCCCCATTCCCCGAGGATGCGAGCCCAAATCTCCCCATGCTTTAGCCCTGAAGCAAAGGCTCAGAATCACAGCTATCCCCTGCAGTTTTCCCTGCATCCCACTGCCCTGTAGTCCTCGGGACCCAGCTCAGCTGCCAAGGAGATGCAGGCTGGGAGCATCGGGCAGAACCGATGGCTCTCAGGGACAGTGGGCAGTGGCACTGAGACAGGACTACGTAGGGCTCCTCCATTCCCAGGGTTTAAGGAATCCCACAGAAATATTCCCCTAAATATGCTTAAATTCAGGAAGAGATGAATGACAGCAGCCTGCCTTTTCTAGTTCAGGAGAGATATACACAGCTGCTTATTTAAACTATGAATCAATCCATTATCCAGCAAACAATTAGGGAGTATTCAGCACATTAATTAACTGGGCATATCTATGACCCAGATGCTTAAAAAGAGACAGTAAATCACACTGGGAGTTTGCATTATCTCAGTTAGAGTAATTAAACACTGAAAATGAAGTTAAACCAATGAAACAGGGTCTGACTCTGGCTAGTAATCACAGACACAGTTATGGTGCTTGGAGCTGATTTTGCCTCCCCTGCTCCTGGCTGTAGGTTTAGGTGTGCTGAATCCTCTGTCTAGGCCCTGTTCTGGCCGTCCTCCTCGAGGAAACTGCTGGTGGAGCTACCTTTTATTCAATGTGCTGTGTACTGAAGCAAGAGCTCTGCTTCTTTAAATCTCACAGAGGTTCACTTGCCAAAGGTATTCAGCCGGGAGAAGAGAAGGCTCAGGGGAGATGTTGTAACAGTCTTTCAATACCTAAAGGGGGCCTATGAGAAATCCAGAGAGGGACTTTTGACAAAGACAAGGGGGTATTACTTTAACCTGACAGAGGTCTCTTCAGCTTTACAGTAATCTGCCCTTCAAATTGCTGTGCAGGGGTGGAAAGGAGCAGAGCCTGCAGAGCTTAAAGTCATGTCCATCACCAACTCCTCCTCTTACTGATTCACTGTCTCTCCCAGGCATGGGATACCTGACTGCAGGTCAAGGATCCCATCCACTTCCAAGCTCACGCTGGGCTAGGCTTCCAGCAAGGGCATGAGGCTGCAGCAACCTGGGAATGACCTCTGGGCATTCAGATGCAACTCAAGTGAATTAGTATCGAGCACCAACACAGAGGATGATGCCACTTGTCTTGCACAAAATAAGAGGTTTATAAGACAAAAATCCCCATGGCGGAAGAAATCACCCAGAGGTCCGAAATGGGCACTGCAAGTTATTCTCCTCGTGTTCCTGAAATGTTTCCTACCGCGTACATAATCAGTGTGCTAGACACCTTCTTTTTTCATGATGTTCAGCAGCTTGTCTCCAGACAGCTGGCCTAATGCCCACAAGGCAACACCGTCTCTGCCCTTACACGTTATCGCCTAATGTGGTGGGAAAAATAAGTAGAGCAAAAATCAGATCTTTCCTGAGGAAGGGAGCGGGGCAGGGGCTGAAGGGAGACAACACGAGCTGAAAACCAAATGCAGGGCTTATGGAAAATGCATTAAGTGCATCTATTAGATGCGTCATCTACCATGTAAAACAGCCAGATAAATAAAGCCCTGAACACGACTGGACCTAACACACTGCTGATGCCTGATCTACTCTGCCAGAGCAGCAGAGGCTCAGCAGCAGCCGCTGCAGCCTTCAAGCCTGTCCAACCACCAAACCTGAGAGTGACAAATCCCAAAAAGTCCCATCTATTTTGCCAGTGCAAGCTTAGAGCTCCTAAGGCGTTTATGGATTTTTCTGGGCCCAGCACTAGAGAGGCAGCCTGGGGAGCGCAGCTTCAGCCTGGCAGCATTTTCTACCTGGCTTTGCCCAGTAAGAGAAGTGATGGGAAGCGCCTCCAACTCCTCACCACGTAGTGCACTGACCAACATTTTTAAGAGCAGTGGGCCTGTTCAAGTCCTTGAGCCTACATTAGAAACTGAATATACCCCATGAATGCTTTATAATATCAGTAAATTACATGTATTGTTGTTATTAAAACTTTCTCAGTGGTTGCAGCATTGCACCAACTCAACAACTCAGCATTACAAGCAAACTTGCCTGTTTCCAGGCAGCCAGCACAGCCCTGGACAATGATCTCTGTTTAGTGAATAAGATCAGAGAATCATAGATTGGTTTGGGTTGGAAGGGTCCTTAAAGCTCATCCAGATCCAACCCCCTGCCACGGGCAGGGACAACTTCCACTAGACCAGGTTGCCTCCCGCCAATATATCTGTCCTTTAAAGTGATCTGTCCTACATTCCACTGCCTGCTAAGCAGGTTTGCCAGCTCCAAAAAGCAGACCAAGCCAGGCACGACCTCAATAGTGAAGAATACAGACAGTCCAGCCAGAAAAAGACAAACATGCAGGTACCAGCCTGAGGAAACACCTGAAGGTGTTACCAGCCTGGCACAGGAAAGGGAAAGACCAAGAGAAAGGACCAGAGAAAACCAGTTTAAAAATATTAACATTTATATATATATATTAACATATGACCATTTAAAAGTGGTTAATATTGATGAGGTCTTAAACCTCTTTATCAAGAGTAGCCAAAAGCCACATCCCCAGACAGAAACACTGATCCATACCCACAGCCTCTTATGAACAGATAAAACTGCATCTTGCAAAGCTTCAGGTACCACTTTGGGGAGCTACTTGGCCTTGAGGGGTCCCACAGCCCCCACTGATGCTGTCAGAGCAGTGGGCGCACGGCCCCACATGTTCGCAGTGGATCACTTGCACTCATCTCCCATCTTCAAACTTCCACCAGCAATACATCTTCTTTAATTATTATTGCTGGCTGGCTGCATCTCAGGGATGAGAGGAAGTTAATTAGATGTCTTAGCACCTGGGAAATAAAAGCCTTGATGACCTTCATTGACTCTATCGGAAAATAATTTAGGGCTGTTTAGCTTCCTTTTTGCACTGAGCAGATCATCAATTAGTAACCATAAGTAAAGCCAAGGGTTTTTAACACAATTTAATCCCATGTGCTATTTTGTCACCCTTGATACTTGTCCCTGATGATCTCAGTATTGATGGTTTTGTTCTCAAGTTCTGATGCTTAAATGGGCAAAACATATTTTATCCTATAATTAAATGAAATGCTCTGCTGGGTGAACATTATCTTAAGTTTTATAGTATTATAGTGCTTTCTATCACCTTAATATATCACCATAGTTCTGTCACTCCAATGAGGTATTACTGTATTATTAGTGTAATAGATCATTACGGCAAGGTGTTTTCATGATGTATTGCTTAAAGGATGAAGCCATCAGGAAGGAAAAAAACCCACGAGCAGGCTCAATATAATTACAGGATAAAAGGATACTTCATCATGAAACCTGATACTGGTTTGACCTGGAAGTGAATGAATGCAGGGAAATGGAAAGCTACAGAGAAAACAAGAGAAAAACAAGAATTCCCCCCACTGATGGATGCTATAACAGAGGCCAAGGTCTCATCTGCATTCAGCATTCTGTATGGGATTCATTGCACCTAACTGTGTTGAGCTGAATGCTACACACAGCTTGAGCCAATTAGCAGTCATCAGCAGAAACTCAGGATATAATACAAGCTGCCCTCCCTTGAACTGGACACATCTTTCCCTACAGAGTAGGCCATTCCCCCTCTCTCTGAGTTGGACTGCTCACCTACAGATACAGGAGAATGGCATGGGAATGGACTTACAGAGTGAAGACTTCCAACAAAAACCCAACACTGCCTGGCATGGCAGGGACAGGACCCACGACACTGCTGCCTTTGTGCCAAATGGCAGCAGGGAGCCTACACCTCACCCTCACCCACCACAGCTGAGGAACTTGCTCCTTAGTTGTGAAATGCATTTAAACACATATGTAATGGGACACCGTATCAAGGAAAGAAGTGGAGAGTTTAGGAAAATACATGAACATTGAGCACAGGCAACCCTGTGTGTGTTTTCAGATGCAACTCCTTGTGTGCTTTTGATATACACACAATCATAAAATCATAGCCTGGTTTGGGCTGGAAGGGAACCCATTACCCCTTGTCTTACTGCTACCCTCCTCATGAAGAGTCCCTCTCTCATCCTTTTAGGCTTCTCTCAGATACTGGAAGGCTGCTATGTATATACATATATATATATATAAAGCAGTGAGTTATTTGAACAACGTGTTTACACTGCTTCTAATTATATTCCCAGCAATAACTTACAACACACAGCCCATTAATTAAACAGTAGCAGTGAAAAGTCCAATTTCTTTCATGTGGCGCCCGTGCTTCTGCAAAAGGCTAATTTCAAAGCTTCTGCACTTACCGTTAGCTACTTTTAAAAGCATTTTCAAGGAGTTAAACTAATTGAAGGTATCACAAAACAAAAGAACTGCCAAGAACTGGCCCTCAGCTGCAGAGGGAAGGGAAAACGTGGAGGTGGAAGACCAGGAAGAAAAATCAGTGCTGAGCTCACACAACAGGTGAGCTGAAGGGAGCCAGCAGCACTGCAAGGTTTGACTTGAACATCAGGTAGGAAAAGAAAACATTGTTAAGTTTAATCACAAAAACAGCTAAGGGAAAAATAAATAATCTGCTTTTAGCCATTCATCTTAAAGCCCAGGGTTAGCAGACAATGTCAGGCTAATTCAGTTTCTCATACTATAACGCACTTAGAGGTTCAAGTTTCTATCCAGGAAGTCCAAAAAGCAGTTTGTGCCATTTAAGAAAAAAACCTGTGTGCATTTAAGCAACAGCTAGGTTATATTTAGCAGTGACTCCATCAGCCACAGTTGACTGATCTTTGTTTAAACGCAACGATAAACCCAAGTGAGATTTGTGTCTACCTCAAAGGACTCCTGCAGCTGGCTCCTTGGCTCAGGTGGCTCCTGAAGTTTGCAGTTCAGGCTCAGATGAGCTTTGGGATTACTTAGTCCTGGTGAGCCTGCAAATCCCAGGGTGTCCATACTGCAAGAACAGGCTCTTTATGCATTTCCATCACTTGAACAATGCTGCTTTTTTTTTTTAGCTGAAAATGAACCTATGATCAATGAATTTAATCCTGTTTCCACCCATTGCCACTACACACCACGCAAACAGCGACAGTAGCACCCATAATCTGCAACTTCCCTGCCTTGGCTAGATTTCCCATATAGATAGCTAGAGCATTTACATGGGAAATGCAAGCAAAATCAGGACATTTAAGTCAGGTACACACAACAAATCCTGATGTTAAAATACTCAGGGCCTCACTGGATAGAGCTAAAACACCAGAAAAACACGTGCTGCTACTCTGCGGCTTCAGAGAGGTCAGGTAGGGTTTTGGTAATGAAAGAAAACTTTAAGATCCCATTGTAATTCTTGTGCTGCATTTTGTTCCAGGTCTGTGCTGATGGATCCACCAACATTCCCATGCTGCTTTCTTCTTAAAACACGGTAGGAGATAAAACTACAGAAGAGACTGAATTAGTCCATCATCAATAACTTTCAGTACCTGGCACATCCACTAATCCTCTAAAAGAAGACAGAGAAAGCTCTGGTGATATCTTACTGTGGCCTTTCAATGGCTAAAGGAGGCTGGCAAGAAATCTGGAGAGGGGCTTTTGACAAGGGCCTATAGGGACAGGACATGGGGGAATGGCTTTAACCTGCCAGTGGGGAGACTGAGATGAGCTCTTAGGCAGAAGTTCTTCCCTGTGAGGCTGCTGAGGCGCTGGCACAGGGTGCCCAGAGAAGCTGTGGCTGCCCCATCCCTGGCAGTGTTCAAGGCCAGGTTGGACACAGGGGCTTGGAGCAACCTGCTCTAGTGGAAGGTGTCCCTGCCTGTGGCAGGGGTTGGAGCTGGATGAGCTTTAAAAACCCTTCTAAACCAGTCTGTGATTCTATGAAGATATGAGATTTAGAATGAATCTTGGAACGATGATTTTTAATCTGGAATAAGATTAACATTAGGATAAGAAGCTTTTGGTTTGCTCAAAAACTTCTGGAGAGGTAAAAGGAGTGCTAGAAAACTAGACTACACTAAATCCCAGCCAAGCTGAAATGGCTAATTGTCACTCAGATAAAAAGCACTGCTTGTTTTCTTTACCCAGTTGATATGTTTTTACTCTGCTGGGTGAAAGAGAAAGGAAAGGTTTTAAATGCTCTGTTTGTGTATGCTCTGCTCTTTGGCTATTTGTCTTCAGTATTATTTACCCTGGTCTGGAAGACTTTTTCAAATGATGCTTTTACTTGCAACTCTGGCATGATTATGGTAATCCAGAAAATAGCTTCTCTAAGAGTAGCTGGGAAAATGCATCTTTGTATCTGAGGCATCTTTAAGAAGAAGGCTGGCCTCGTGCATTAAAGAGTGAAGGCAACAGACAAGCTGCACATCCATACTCTGTCCATGAAGCCTTTGCAGGGTACCTCCTGCTCTCACCACACACGATCCCAGCACATTAAATCCTCACCTGCGGTCCCCAGCCGTGGCACGGGTACAGTATTGCTGTGTGGTTCTCCTGGGGGCCCTGGTCAAGGCAGACATCTTTTGCCTTGTTGTTTCGAAGCTGTAAGAAATAAAAAGTGCAGTTATACAGCCCTGTCTCTTTGGAGATGAGCAATAAACTGATGAGCAGCAATGGCTCCAGCCTCTTCAGCTATAGAAAGAATAGACGGTGCTATATCACTAGGCATAATCAGGCAGAGAAGGGTTTAGTGTGCCATATGTTTTCTTTAAATACAAGGCCTAATGATGACTGCTTTTATATAAAAATCACTATTCAAAGGAGCCAACTTCCTCTAATACAGTTTTCTTCGTATTTGGTCATGTGTGGTGGTAACAAACACAGTTTTAGGCTGCTCTCAGCCTGTTGCCAGGAGCCTGAAATCAGTGCAGAGTCACATGTATTTTGTCTAAATCTCAAAGTGCTCAAAAAGGCAGCAAGTCAAAAAATGTCCAGGGAGCACAAGGAGCCCCTCTGCATTGTCACAGGGATTCAGGAGGGGACACAGAGATGGCAAACCAGTTGTCAAGTACTGAAGGACACACTTCAGAGGAAGCATGGAAGTGTTGGATTCATGCTACAAAGGCTCAGTGCCTACTGAACCCCAGCCACCAGGTCTGTCAACGCAGAGCTGCCCCCTCTCCAGGCTCCCCATGTAGGGAAACTGCAGCAATGCCTCTGAAAATGTGAAAATAGTATGATTAATGATACAATAAGTGCTCTGGAAATAGCACTTTTTGGGAAGTTTTAGCTTGCAGGGTTTAAGTTGCTTTGATAATAAATCTTTCTTAAAATTAATGCCCATGTGGGGTGCCCAGGCTGTGCTTCAAGGAGCCTTCTCAAACTGCCACTATTCCATGAGACCTACTGCAACAGAGTACTATTAGTTCCCATAAATGCGTGGGTTTATATTCTCAGTACGGTCTCAAAGCCAAGAGAGATTGAATTAAGTCTCCTTATTTTATCTCATCCTTAAGCTGTTGTGACAATGCACTGTATCCTACAGAGACCTTGTAAGGAATCAGGCTCAGTTTAAGTCAAAAGGTTTTATAAGACGGCTATGTATCAAAAATATACGTACAGCTGCTTAATCCATGGAGTCAATGGGTAATATAGATAATTTTCTGTCAGTTCAGTAAATGAAGTATTAAAATATTTTACTGTATATGGTTTCTAAGCTCAGAAATAAATCCTCAAAATAGCTTTTTAGAAGGAACTGTGGAAAGACTTATACAAATTTATGTAACTATGCACAGAGAGCATGTGTTTTGAATCCCATTCCTCTCCTTTAAGGCTACTTCTCATCAGAGACTCACCAGCTGTAAATATTACCAGTCTGCTCTAAGGGACTACTCAGCCGTAATTACCTCGCCATAAGCGATGGTGTTGTTGTATCTTCTCATTTCTGGGTAAACATGGTCCAGGTACCACTGGAAATTTTTACACTTCAAGCTCTTCCTCAATGCTTTTCTCTCAGAAACATCCCCAATATCGATACCTGGATTCTGAAAAATAAAGACACATCATGTCACTGAACGAGTAGTCTTAAAAAAAGGTTAAAAGGAGAGGATTTCACTGATGTTTGATATCATAGGATCACAGAATGATTTTGGTTGGAAAAGACCTTAAGATCATCCAGTTCCAACCCCCTGCCACAGGCAGGGACACCTTCCACTAGAGCAGGTTGCTCCAAGCCCCTGTGTCCAGCCTGGCCTTGAACACTGCCAGGGATGCGGCAGCCACAGCTTCTCTGGGCACCCTGTGCCAGCGCCTCAGCACCCTCACAGGGAAGAGCTTCTGCCTTATATCTAACCTGAACTTCCCGCTTTAAGTTTAAACCCATTCCCCCTTGTCCTGTCACTACAGTCCCTGATGAAGAGACCCTCTACAGCATCCTTGTAGGCCCCCTTCAGATACTGGAAGCTGCTCTGAGGTCTCCACACAGCTTCTCCAAGCTGAACAATCTCAACTTTCTCAGCCTGTCTCCATAAGGGAGATGCTCCAGCCCTCCCAAACAGAGGAGAAAAAGTTATGAAGGAAAAGTGCAGTACAACAGAGGTGAATCTTCAGTATTGTCATGGATTCCCTTGGGCTTTGGATCCATTTGAGAAAGACTGAATCTGCCAACAGGCACAAGAACAAAGTACTTTTAAAAGAGCTCACCTCCTGTTTAGGTATTGACATACAGGACTCCCAGGAGAGCTCAGTGGGTAAATGTACATGAGGATTTAAAAGACTTCCACGCTGAATCCTGGAAATGCAAACCCCCGCCTGTGCTCTGACCACCAAAACCCTTCCCCTTACACACCCTTAAAAGGTATCAAATAAGGGGTAGAGAGAAAAGAGGAGAGAAAAATGTAAGATTCATATATAACAGAGGCAGATAGCTAAGAATAAAGGACAAAAATTACAGGGGAAGAGAAGTTAAGGCTGAACCTCAGAAAAACCTCTTGACAATTTGGACAATTGCCTGGTGAAATAGTCTCCCTGGAGACACAGAGGAACCCCACAGCTCGAGATGATTTAAAAGCAGACAAAGCTACGGTATCTGTCCCCAGAGGAATAATCTCACAGAGCCAGGAGCAGGGCCTGAAGGGAGCTGCCCCCTTTTAACATTTTATTCCATTACAGAATCCAGGGAACTAATGCAGCAGTCAGGTGAAGGAAACCAAAGGCACATTGCAGCAGCCTCTTTTACTCCTTCCTACAGGTGTCTGGGTTCCAACTCTATTGTAGCTCCTATTCTTGTCTTTTACCATGATCATTAAATACAGCTGGGAAAGCAATTTTCCATTACAACGCTTGTAATGACCTTCTAATGAATTATTCACTCTGCTTTAGAGAAGATACCAATTTAATGCACAACTGGTAGGTCACAGGTAAAAATAAAGATGATTCAGTGTAGACAGGGAGGACAGGCTGAAGTCTGAGTGGGCAAGGTGGGATGCAGAGCAAAGCAGGACCTGAAATACTCAGTGCAAGGGGTTTGGCTTGGTTTTGAATATAGCAGCTTCACAAAATAATTCTGTGTATATCCATAAACCCCTGCACAATACCAAGTCACACAAGGCTTCTCTAAACTTGAATCTGGTCTATGTAAGTACCTCAGACTGGTTTTAGAGTAACTCAGATGTGTTTTCCCAGCCCTAGCTACAGTTTGTGAGATGCTGCCTTTTCCAAGCCACACAGGAACTGTGTCTTCCCAGGGGATTTTAATCCCTTTCTGCCACCCTCCAAAGCTGTTTCTGAGCAAGAGCATGGTGTTTCACCTCTAAAAAGGAATCAAACCTAGGTACAGTGCTGGACCCATAGTAATTTATGATCCCTGCCTATGGACATCTGGGACTTGCAACCTTTAAGATAGATCTGAAATGACTCAGTCCTGCAAGCAACTCTGAATGCTTGGAGTGGTGCCCACCACAGCCAGTGCCCTCTTGCAGCTCAGTGGGTAAAAGGCATTTATTTCCATCTCTATTCATCTATTTCTTAACAATAAACTAATCCTGGACTCCTCACCACCCCCAGGACTACAAACCAGCAGTAGCACAGGCTGCTCATCGACCCTTCAAAGGTACCTGTTGTTCTCTAATGCAGTACAACATTGCCACTCCCATGGCTCTAAATGCCAGTAGCTCTCCCCAGATGTAACCTTTCCTCAGAAGCAGCAGCTCATGCTTTTATGTTTTAATGCTTTTTAAACTGCCCAGAGCACAGCACTGCTGCAGCAGCATCAGGACCACAGGAGCTCGCTGCAGGGGTGTGACCTGCAAGGTGTATTTCATGTGTCTTTTCAGCACCAAAAGGGTGGTTGTAAATAACTGCTCACATGGGGTCTGGCCACTCATGGCAATGGTTTTTCTTCACACTTGAATACAGCTGCCCAGCGCTCATGCTCAAGTACACTGCGAGTGGAGTGGGTGTCAGGGTGCAAGGCACCCTGAATCCTCACCTTATCCATAACCTGGTGAGCACTGCTGCCTCCCCCCTCCCCAGTACCCATTTATTCAGTTCCAACCCCTTCCACTAGAGCAGGTTGCTCCAAGTCCCGTCCAACCTGGCCTTGAACACTGCCAGGAATGGGGCAGCCACAGCTTCTGGGGCAGCCTACAAACACAAGTCTTTAACCCAAGAAAGTTGGTTTGTACCTAAAGACACAGGTGCAACGGCCATACCTCCAGGGGCAGGTTCCATGCAATGTACACGTGCCACTTGTAGTCATCCATCCACACCTCGGCCACCCGCAGCGCATTGCGCTTGGTGTAGAAACCAATGTTGTTGTTGTAGGGCTTCTTCTTGCGCTCGATGTGAGCCACCCTGGAGCAGGGCAGGACCTCCATGCTGCCACCACACAGCCACACCTGCAACACAATCACACAGCACCATCAGCAAGGGGCTCAGCAAAAGGTCACACAGACATTAACAAGAGATAACTGGTGGGTTCAGAGGTTTCTATAATGTCCTGGTGAGCACAGAGCATCACAGCATCTTGCTGGCAACTGGAAACATGGCCAGGTTTGGTCTTTGCTCAATGGCGAGACACAGAGAATTTAACCTGTGCCCAGAGCAAAACATGTGTCAGCTTTAGAGGGATCCAGCCTATATCCATCCAGCACATGGTATTAATGCATCACAGGACTGGGTGCTGAGTTTACAGTGATGCTGCTACTAAATAAAAAGGATTAGCGACTGGAAGAGTTGAAACAATTGCAAGATCTCCTCCTGCACAGGCAATGACTCAGTGAAACATATGGCAGGCACAGATTTCTCCCACTTGAAACCATTTGTTCATTATTTTTCTTTCACGTGCTGTTTAAAATTCCCATAAATCACAGTGTACAAGTTAATAAAATCTTTTGAGATTTTGGAGATCTTCCTTTTATCACACAGAAAAGGAATTTTTGCAGGAAGATTTGCCATACCTGGGTTCTTCCCTCCGTGTCTGTCCTTACCAAGAAATTACTTATCTTAAATTAAAGATGCATATCCAGGACACCAGGCACTGGGCAATCGTCACAAACGCATATGCCAAAGAGGCCAAATAGTCCCACTTTTGCCTATTTTGAAGTCTGCTTTCTGTTATCATTTTGCAGTTGTTGTAACACCCATCATTTCTGGGATCTCTTCCAGGCTCACCACCTTTTATCACCACCTTTACCTGGGAGAGCGGCCCTGGTCAACCCGCTCTCCCAGCAGCACCAGCAGCCTCCTGGACTGTATCATCTACCCTTTTTCATCTCTAAGCAGTGGGTTTAGTGGGCACATGGACATCGCAAGCCCAGGTGACATGGGCAAGGGGCAGTACATCAGGAAGACGTCTTCCCTTGGGGTAATCCTGCTACTTGTGCTGTTCTCACCTGGACTGCTGCAGAATACAGGAGCCTACATCAAAGAAACAGAGCCCTATTTTATTAGCTGGTGCATTAACATGGAGAAAAATTCCCAATTTCCTCCTGTTCTGCTGTTCGACCTTTCCAAACACCTTTAAATACAACTTCATGGCTCCAGAGTGAATTCAGGGCTCAATTCCAAGATGAGGGGCATGTCCATCCCTCCTGTCCAGCCGCAACCACGCTCACCTCTGGGAATTCCACAAGGTCTGCCTGAAGTCTTGCAACAGGCCACATGCTGGCAAAGCAAGTAAGAAGCGAACAAGGTAGTTCTAAAGAAAAATATATATGTATCTAAGGGAATATTCCTAAGGCAATAGTTTGGCAGTGTTTCTTGCCTGCTCAGTTCCCAGTTTCTCAATGTCTTGGTGAATGAGGAGCATCGAGGTCTGCTCTTGGGTGCTCCCAAAGCTGCTGGGTTCAGTCACAACGCTGAATAAAACTGCCAGTCCTGGAAGGGGCCCAGCACCATCTGGTTTCGAGTTTGGGGGTTTTGGTAGATTCTGTCCTGATTTGAGGTCAGAATAATTATTTTTAATGTGTAAAAAACATGATCTTATTAAAAATGTCATTTCCCAGCAAGCTTGCCTCTAGCAGCAGAAGTGCACGATTACATTTAGTTAAATAATACACATGGCTTTACACCTGACAGCTTTCCTACATTTCTGGAATATCTATGCAAACTATATTGAAATGCACATATTGTAATAACCCGAGAGAGAAAAAAGCATTGGGCATTGTGCAAAGGGCACTGGCTAGATACGTATCATCAAGCCAGTTCCAGACAGCTCAATAAAAATCTAATTTGGAAAAGGCACTTATGAAAGTTAAGGCCATCTCCTAAATAAAATCTAAATCACCATTATAAATAATAAAAATCTATTTTTACAAGGCATTTATAAACATTTCTGTTGGCAACAAAAAGGAGACCTATTACACTGGAAATGCCAAGTCACACCTGACATCACTGACCTCAGCGTACAGAGGAGTAAATGATGGCCCCAGGAAGATGCTGCTGGCTCCCATGTGGCCTGGCAAGGACTGTCTGGTCCTGCTGGCATCCAAAAATACATGTGAACAGGTCCACAGGGGCTGCAATCCCAAGGACATCCTCCACAGCCACAAAGCATGAGGTATAGTTGCCCTACAAGCTCAGTGATGCTTTATCCTTGCATTAGCAATGACTGTGGAGCAGTGAATGGCCCAGGGAAAGGCCACAGACTTTGTTCTCTTGGTGCCACAGTGAGATGAACTGCAAGACACCACAGCCAAAAGGGCCCAGCAGACCTCCATCCTCCAAGCAAGGCTGGAAGTCATTGCCTTGCTGATGCCCCGATGTCCCAACCTGCAGCAACTTCATCCCTGTGGCACTCAGATCCTGAAGGCAGAAGCTTCTTTGGGAACCTTCACTTATGTCCCTATTGAGCAGCCAGTTGTCCCACCGAAGAACTGTAACAAATAAATTACCTTCCTATTAAGTAGTTTTTTCATGTTCATGGCAAATAAATCTACAGTCCCTTAAGGTACTCTATTTAGTGCAACTAAAGGTACTCTATTTACTGCAACAGCATTAACGGGACAATCAGTCCAGCATGTTGTTTCTGCTAATTCCTTGAGAAATTACCTCTTAGTAGATGGGTAATCAAGAGCCAGCATAACATTAAGACCAATCAGAGAAATAAGGTGTTGTCAAATTAATTCATGTTTAGCCTATTTAACAAGTCAGAATCTTTTCTCTTGCTTCCTACAAAGGATGAAATCATGCTCACTTTGTTTTATAAAATATGCCTGCATGGCATGTAAAGGCATGTTTAAAGACTCAAGGCAGAGTATGTAAGACAGCAGGTTAAATACAAAGAGCAAGCCTCAAGTTTCTCCCTTGTTTTCTGACATTCAAATTTCAACATGACTATTAGCTTGCCATTCATCCACCCATAAAGAGACACAGAATTAAAAATAGAAGCATTTCCCTTCAGCAAATGACAGTGACTCAATAACTTCTCCATCAGTCTACACACAGGAATAATCAAACATACAGAAAAATGCTTGGACTTATAAATAATTGGTTAATGCTAAATTCTAGGGAAGAAATCCCAGAAAAAAACATGAGATAAATCCATCACCCAGAGATCTTTGATGTGCTTTTCACAAAGCTGGTGGGTAATGCACTTGCAATTATTTTCCAAGCAAAATGTGACTGTCCTACGAATTCAGCATGGAAAAGCAGTGATTCCTCTCAAGACATGAAATCACAGAATCCTAGAATCCCAGAATCATTAGGGTTGGAAGGGATGTCTGGAGATCATCCATCCCAACCCACAGCCGAGGCAGGGCCACCCACTGCAGGTTGCACAGGAACATCTCCAGGCAGGTTTGTATGTCTCCAGAGAGGGAGACTTCATGATCCCTCTGGGAAGCCTGTCCCAGGCTTGTTTGGATTGGAAGGGACCTTAAAGCTTATCCAGTTCCAACCCCCTGCCATGGGCAGGGACACCTTCCACTAGACCAGACTGCTCCTAGCCCCATCCAACCTGGCCAACCTGCACAGTTCTTGTGTATGTATACCTCCCACCCAAGCCATCAGCATCTCCTCTGCCATCAGCCTTCATTTGCAAAAGCAAAGTTGTTTTTATGATGCTCCTATGGCGCACTCTGCATATCTTAATTCTAAGGATGTGTCCTTCACCTGGGACAGGGGTAACCTCAGAGTCTGGGAGCAACCTGGGAAACAACAGTGACCAGGCCTGTTGGAAGTGCACATTCCCTGTGGTTACTGCACTCTTGGTAGCGGAGAAAGAACGGCAGACTGCTCACAAAGCACAAGTGTACCGACGGTCCCTTGTGCGTGTAATAGAGACAGCAAGAAAATCCCAGTTTCTCTTCACCAGCTCACTGCAGCAGCTGCAGAACCAATTTTCTAAGTGAAGAACAATTACTGTCTGTGATCCCTTTTGCCCTCAAAAATGTTCTGCAGCTATCAATTTGCTTTGCTCCTGTCTGCTAGAGCCAGCAATTACTCCAAAGGAGCATTATTTAAACAAAAGGGCTTTTGGCAATCTGCTCAGTGCCAGACAGGCAGAAAAGGGTGACCCAGAGGAGATCCACCTCCCAGGATGGTGCTGCAAGCCTGTCTTGTGCTACTAGCATCATCTGTGCTCCCTCATTGAGCAGGGCTAGAAATACACCCCATACCTTAAGGTTGGTGGTGCCAGGGCTCCTAGTGCTTCACAAGTCTGGTTTGCTGTGAAGGAGCAATCCAGAGGATGTGTTTCGGTGCACTTGGGGCAAGCAGGAGGATGTTGCTGATCACTGGGTGCTGGTTGCTGATCACTGCCTTATCCCACCCCATCCTCTCCAGCAGGTCAGAGCTGCTTCTTATAGAATCACAGAATAGTCAGGGTTGGTTCTTTGAACCAACCAGACAGTTCTTTCTCTATATCTCCCTCTGTTCACCCGATGGAGCAGGGTGAGCCTCAGGGCTCCCTCCCTTGGGTGCAGAGGCAACAGCACTGACATCCAGCCAGCACTCACTGAGCAGCAAAAGGCACACAAAGGGGAAGGCATGGCCGCAGCTCAAGCAAAAGATGGGTGGAAAAATGAACTCTGATAATGGAACTTTAATGCATCTATAATAAGAAATACTTGCTCCCCTCTCCAGCAAGCAGCGCTTGCTACGCCATGATGCCCATTGGCACGGAAGTAGAAGAGAAAATTATTAACCTAAGGAGACTACTTTCATCAGAAAATACCGGTGCAGGGTCTGCTTCCCCTGGGATGGAAGAACCACTCGTACATCCCACTTCTCTTCACGTGCCTGCAAGCCAGACCAGGGAATTGGGGCTCACCATCTGCTTTGTCACAGATTAAAACAAAAAGAGGGCACTTCTGTGAGATAAGAAGCAAAACTGGGGCTGGTCCCTTGCTCCCTTCCACCTGGTGGAGAGCCAGGATGGAGTCCTGCCCCAGCACAC